TACAAGTCCTTGTTATTCCACGAAAAATTGTCACTGAAATAAAAGTATATTCTTGCGGAGGATTCGCCACAATTTTGTTGAACAAGCTACTGCAGAAAAAAGAAAAAAAAAAAATGTGGGCAAGCAACTGTGCCACTTAGCTCCCAGCGAAAAATGAGAAATTCTTATTCGCAACGTGTGCGAATTAGAATTCAGTAACGAAAAGGTTAAGCGTGCACTCGCTCGCTCCTCTCTCCGTCGAGCACGAATCGCGTTAGTTAACTAAATGTTTCCAGTGGCTTATGGTCGTGCGCGATCAGACGGAGTTCCAGCGAAAAGTGTTACGATCATTAGTCACGAGTGCGCGTCACTCCGCGGCAAACATTTTCATTCTCGACTCGTTTGAACCCGCGTGGCCACGCTTGGTGACTGCTTCGAACACAGGCAGAGAAACGAGAGAGGGAGAGAGAGGTCCCGGGGCGTGGTCGAGGAAAAATCGAGCACTCTCCGGAAGAGTTGGTGTGCACCGGGTGCGAAATTGGCTACTTTCTGACCGTGCTGATACATACAGCAACGTGAGCGCGTCGAAATGTCGCACGCGGCTCACGTACGTCTCGCACATATTTATGCATGTATGCACACACAGCCCCGGAGCTTCTCTTTCCCCTTACGCGGTTTTCCTCTCTCTTCCGTTGCATGTGTATCTCTCTCTCTCTCTCTCTCTCTCTCTCTCTCTCTCTCTCTCTCTCTTTCTCTCTGTTCTCGTGTCGTTGCGACACGAAACAGCAATTTAAGTTTCCGTCGTCGGTGGAAATCGTGCGGCACGTGACGTCGCGAATTAACACGTTAAAGGGTCGGAACATAAATTAACGTGTCAAGCGGCCGATAAGGATCGCCGAGCACACCGGTGAAAACCGACCGGCTTCGACCGGGAAGAAAGTTCCCTTATCGGGCCACCGATTTCTTCGCAACCCCGATTGCTGGTTACTCGTTTTCCGTGTACCGGATTGTATCTTTCCCTCCTCCTTCTCTTATATTCTTATACTTGTTACCGTTTTTTTCTCTTTCTTTTTTCTTCTTTTTTTTACGGCGTTATTTATTCCGAACTGCAGAAACAACTGTGAAGAGTGAAAGAACGAGTCTTCAATCGCAGTGACATCCGATTTGGTAAATTTCTGTTGAATCGAATTCTCATCGATTAGATACGTCATGATTTTACGCTGAAGAGAATAAAAATAAAAATGATCGGAAGCGTGACGAGCGTTTATCCGTACGTGTACATATCTTTCTCTTCGAAGCAGAAATAGACAACACGCGATTAAAATTCAATTTTGAACTACGACAGTTATCCTCTGGTAGCAGGACCAGAATTACTTACTTAAGGCCAGAATTAACTTTACGAATTGCCATTTAATAGGACGATATACATAGAGTTGGCGGACTAATGTGAGAAGCAATGCGAAACGCATTTAACACGGTTAATTACGGGCTAACGAGTGATCATAGACGAGGAGGAATCGGGTCTGGCAACCGTGTCAAAGAGAAAATGTGTTGACATGTGAAACTGAATGGCTGGATGCATAACGTGCGTGCATAGAATCGAAACCGAGAGGTTTTGCTATGTGCATACTTCAGTGTGCATAGCTTCCGCTCGGACAAACAATTCTAGTTCGCCTAGTTCGTCTACACGACGTTTGCGCAAACATGTTCGAGATAAGATCCCGCGTAAACGGCCGAAAAAAAATTCATTCTACTCGATCAATCACACCAGGATAAGTACTATACTATAAAAATATATACTGGGTTGAGTAAAAAGTAATTTCATATTCTGCTGATAGACGACTTTAACATAACTCTGGTAATATTACTCGGATCTGACAATACTTATGTGTGATTTTTACTGTACAATTAATCACACCAGGATAAGTACTATACTATAAAAATATATACTGGGTTGAGTGAAAAGTAATTTCATATTCTGCCGATACACGACTTTAGCATAACTCTGGTAATATTAATCAAATCTG